CAGAAATACATGTCGACATGTGCTAGCATTTAACTCCCACTGGTAGGAGAACAAAATTCATGACCATATTGGAGACAAAACCATGCAGAGTTAACAGTAAAATTCAAAATTCACAAACCAATTTCAAGTTCCTAGAATAAACAAGAAAACTCCATGTAGACATGCTCAACTCAATAAAAAATAATAATAACTTTCATTTCAAATTAGTCATACTCAGGTACTAATAAAAATCGGGTTACATCCCGCCACCGTCTTAAAAACATTTTAAAATATACTTTTAAAGACTTTCCTTAAAATCCAAGGGTATTTACTATAATTTTTTTTTTTACTTATATCTTCTTGTAGGCTTACAACAGCAAGTATTTAAGGTTTCAAGGAGATGGCGGTGACTTAGAATCTATGCCACATTAAAGAATAAATAAGATTACAATGTACCTCATTTAGTTAAATTAGTTTCTAATTCCATAATCAAGTTTCTATCCAAGGTAAAATTTTCTTCCTATACACCCTTACTATTTTTGCCCATTGAATCTCAGTAACATATAAATATGTTTAACCATCCTTAGAGTATGCTCAAAACAACTCTCACTGTCACATGCAATGATAGCATTTATGGGCAAAAACAACAAAAATTTCTGGACAAAAATAGCAGAATTTTCTAGGCAAAACAACAAGGATCTATGGGCAAACAGCAGCAACAAAACAATGTAGAAACAAGCCAAAACTTGACAGCATTCAAGCAAAAATGTAGTAGCAAAAATGCAGCCAAAACTAAGCGATAACAAGAGGTTTTAGAGCATGAAAACAACAGCTAAAAAGCTAGTAAAATCATGATGCAGTATGCCAGTAGGTACAGTGGAAATAAAGCATAAAACAAAGCAAATTTTTGGGTACTTTTGAGAGCAATTCTGGTCAAATTTTGAACTAGAACTTCCAACAGAATTTACAGCAAGAAACTGACTAATCTGGGTTGAGTGGTCAACAAATAAATTGTAGCCCTATGTCTTTACATTTACGTTTTATAGGCTCAAGAATTACCTTAATCTGACATTTACAAAGGAAGTTATGGTCAAAATGATGACAACAGGTCAGGCTGCCAGTTTAGTCCGGCTGAAGGATCTGAAAGTGTAGCAGAGTTTTCACCTTGAAAACAACTGAATTGGGTTAAATGTCCAACATAAAAATTGTAGGGTTATCTCTTAGCTTTCCATAGAATCAAGAATGAACTCAAAACAATATCTACAAAAAGAGTTATGGGTAAATTACTACAAAAGGGTCGTGCAATTTGAATTTTTGGCAAGTAAAGGAAATTAGTTTCTGGTGGTATATATCATGGACAAAATCAAGGGGGCAACTATAGAAATTTTCTAAAATTTGAAAGCCCTAAAGGATTAGAGTTAATCCACTTCAAATCATTGAGGAAAAGATGAGTATTATGGTTGATTTCTTACCAAAAGTGCTGAAAATGGTGATGGATAGTAACACAAAATAGATCAACAGATTGAAGGGTGCAGCAACCCAGATCTGAAATATTGTTTATGATTTTGAGAATTATAAGCCTATTAATCTCTATATCTTGCTAGGAGAAAGAAGAAAAGCTAAGTTTCTTACTTATTTTCTCACAATGAGGAGGATGTTAGGCAGCTTAGGGCTTTGGGGCTACAGAGCTTTGGGGAGGAGTTGGAAAGACGCAGAAGGCTGAGGAAGAAAAGAAAAAAAATCAGCCTTAACCCTTTTATAAAAAATTTTCTCTTTTAACCCCCCTTTAAGTTTGAAAATTTTAGTCTTTAGGTTCATCAATAATAATCTCTCCCACATAAGTCCTTCACTTAAATTTTAAGGTTTTAGAACATTTTGAGATATTACACCCACCATCCCTGATAACTCATTTGGCAAAACCCCTTGCAAACCCCACCACAACAACACTTTTGTTCAAATTAACCATGCCATTCTACATTCACAAAATAAATGTCTAAAGCTTCTTCACTGCTTCATTGCATAGCCCACAGATCTCTAACGTTTTCATTTATTTTTAGTAAAGCTTAGGACTAATTCCTATTGAAATTTAAGTAGTTCATGAACTTAATTTAAATTAATCATTTTTTCAGTGTCATACTGTTGTGTCAAGGGAAAGTAACGGCTGCTGCATGACACCATTAATTGACAGGGACTCATATTCTGAGCTCAGAGGTAGTTATATATTTTGAGTTCGTTCTTGATCTATTGATTGTCTTGGTTTATATATACGCTTGTTACTGTGATCAAATTTTGTTTTGTTGGTGCAATTAGAGCATGTACATGGTGATCTCTTTTATTGTTCTTTTCTAAAAAGAGAATAGAGACAAAAACTCTATTCTATTGAAGGGCAATTCTAAAACTGAGCTTATTCTCTGCAACTTGGTGCAACGTCCAACAGCAACTTGCTCAGTCTCTTTATTTTAAGGCAAAAAATAGTTGAATTTTGTTGCTACTTGCTGCAGCACCTGACAACAGTCCTTTTAATCCAATTGCTTTAAACTGTTGGATCAAAGCGCTTTGCTTTTTTAAAAGAAAAAATTCAGTTCAAAAATTTATTTATTTTTTTATCAGCAAAACGAATAGAATGATATTAATGCAGAGTACAAGGGGTACTCTAACCCATATACATAAACTAGGCTACAAATTGCAGAATTGAGACTTACAAAACTAGGCCAACATCTGGTACCATGGCCACATACTTATGCTGGACAATGACCCACCCAGCAGCCCCATTATACCTTTCCCTTTTGGTTCAAATGGAACTCCCGCATCAGCCTTCTATTATTTCTTATTTCTGCAGCAATTTCCAGCGGGTTAAGCTTCCAGTCCCAAAATGAGAAAACACATCCCTGCACTGTATTTTTTACCCAGAAAAAAATCTTGGCCTGAATCATTTCCAATAACTCATCCCTTGATACCCCATTTCCCTTAAAACCTCTACAATTCCTCCAAAACCATATATACCATGCAGTAACAAGAAAGATGCAAGCTCCCAATTCCTTCCCTATCACCCTACCCAGCCCATATGCAAACAAATCCATTAATCCCCCCACTCTATTCGGCACTACAGCCTCCATACCCCACCAATGCAGCACCTTAGTCCAAATTAACCAAGCTTCCGTACATGTACAAAAAACATGATTACACTCTTCCACTTCCTCATCACACAACCCACACCTTAATTCCCCATCCAGACCCACACCTCTTTTTTGTAAGCTAAACTTAGTGGGAAGACGCTCAAGACATAATCTCCACCCAAAAAAACTAACTTTCGAAGGCACTAACCGACACCAAATTAACTTATATAATTGTTCATTAAGAATGTAATTTGTAGATTCCAAAAACCCATACGCGTATCTCACCATAACTTGCCATCAAGAACATGCACCCACTGCCAACAATCCTTAACACCTTCCTTAAGTTGAACTTTACCCAGGATCTCCCACAACAGCACCTCCTCATCCTTCTCTCTTCCCCGTCTCCCTCTTCTCCAATCAATCCTCCATTTCCAACTACCTTCCTCCCAAACCCCCATCTCACTAACTAAACCATTCTTATGAATCGCCAATTGAAAAAGCCTAGTACACAAATCCCTCAAAGTCTTCTCCCCCACCCAAACCGCTTTCCAAAAATCCATCCTACTTCCATCTCCCACCCCCCATCTAAAACCCTTCACCAGCATATTCTTTAAACCATCTGATCGCAACCCTATACTCAGAACATCCCTCCACAGCCTAGACACCCTAACTGTATCCACTGCTGTAATATCCACTTCCTCCCTTCCACCATAATACCTCTCCCATACCACCTGTTTCCACAAGCCCTTCACTCCATCCCCTAATCTAAACCACCACTTCCCTAACAATGCCCAATTTTTTCGACGCAAATCTGGCACTCCTAGACCTCCTTTCTTCTTACTAGTACACACATAATCCCACTTAACCCATGAAATCTTCCTCTTTAATTCCATCCCTCCCCACAAAAAAGCCCTTTGAATACTAATCAACCTTTTTACTACCCAATTTGGCATTAAAAACAAAGACATATAAAAAATGGGAGTTGCAGAGAGTACCGAGTTAAGTAAAGTAATGCGACCACCAGCAGGCAGCACAACAGACTTCCAGACAGCTAACTTAGCTTGAAATTTATGCAGAACTGGATCCCACATCTTCTTGCTCCCACTCTTCCCCCCAACCGGCATACCCAGATACATAAAGGGTGTTTCCCCAACACCACAATGGAGAGCACTTGCTGCCCTTTTAATCCACCGAGAAGCCACGTTGAAACCAAAGACACTACTTTTGCCAAAATTTATCCGCAACCCAGACATCAACTCAAACCATCTCAAAATGGTTTTAACCGTAAAAATACTCTTACTATTAGCTTTCCCCAATATCACTGTATCATCCACGAATTGAAGCAAAGAAATAGCTAAGCCATCATTACCCACCGTGATGCCTTGTAGCAATCCCTCCTCTTCTGCTTTTTTGACTAGTCCATGCAGACCCTCAGCCACCATGAGAAAAAGGAATAGAGATAAAGGATCCCCCTGTCGTAATCCTTTCCCCATCGCAAACTCCTCTGTTGGGCTTCCATTAACCAAAACTGAGACTCGAGTAGTTGAAAGGCATTCTCGAATCCACCCTCGCCATTTCCCGCCAAAACCAAATTTGCTCATCATCCAATCTAAATACGACCAATCTACGCAATCGTACGCCTTTTCGAAATCAGCTCTGAAGATAAAAGCTTCTTGCTTACGCTGCTTAACCTCTTCCACCACCTCATTTAAGACGAGCACGCTGTCAACAAGTTGACGGCCTCCCAAAAACGCAGATTGAGAATCATTAATGATCTCTGACATTACCACCCGCAGCCTATTAGCCAACACTTTTGCCAGTAACTTATATACACAACAAACTAAGCTAATAGGTCTAAAATCTTTTAGTTCCATGGGGTTCATCTTCTTAGGAATTAACGTTAAGAAGGAAGAGTTTAACCCTTTTACTAACTTGCCATTCTGGTGAAACTCCTCAAAAAATCTCACAAAGTCCTCCTTCATACAACCCCAAGCATACTTGATAAAACTAAAATTGTATCCATCCGGCCCCAGTGCTCCTTCAGTTCAAAAATTTATTATTTGAATTATAAGATATTGATTGAATAAAACAATATTAGTATAATTTTTAAGAAAACTCTATGAATTAGAAAGAACATGTTCTGTTGGATTTTCTATTTAAGAGTTAAATACATAAAATGACAGTTCATGTAAAATAATATTAAGGATATTGATTAATATATACTTTGATTCAACATATTACTCAATACATTCACTAAAAATATTATATTTTAATTTAAAATTAAAAACAAACAAATTTAAATATATAATTGTGTATATATATATAATGCAAAAAAAGGATGAATTAGCTGTACTTAATCGAGTTTGTACATATTATATTTCTAGTATTAATTATTATGATATGACACTAGAGTGAGCCTTTTTATTATGCTCTTAGGAAACCCCTTCTCAATGAAGAAGTTAGACGTCATCTATTAAAACATTCATGGTTGTATCACGTAATATATTTATCCTTTGTCTTAAGCACACTTTTACGTCTCACCCACACCATATACTGCAAAATTTGCCATACATCATTTTGCCATGCAAGTGCAGATAAAAAAAATACAGATATTTGTGTCGCAAGGCTTGAGTAGACTCTGAAGAAGCAAGACTAGCTAGAAAGTTAAGGAGAAGATGAAAAATGGAGATGGTAATGAGTCAAAAGAGATGCAAGATAGATGGAAATCCTTGGACGAAGCTGGCGACATCCCATTAAACTTGACATCAACAAAGCCGTTAAGACGAAGGTTTACGAGCATAATACGCAACAAAAAGAATATCAAGAATGAACGATATTTCACACCAACTTCTGTTGCAGTCAGTCCCTTACACAATGACAAAAAACTCCAAAGAAGTGAGGAGTTCAAGCTACAACTGGCGGCCAAGTTCATCAAATATAGTGGCAGGAAAACGGAAGATTTCTACAAAAACGTCAAGAAAGGAGATAAATAGTTTGAGGAAGTGTTACAACCCCAAGGAAATAGAGAAATGGAATGATGAGGAGTTAGCTTGGATGTTCCTTGTGGATGGCTGTGCATTGTTGAATTTCATACACATCTTGATGCGAATAAAAATTGAAAGGAATTGGGAGGTAAGAATGATCTAGTCGCCTTTGCGAAGCTGGATTTATTTTTGCTTGAGAACCAACTACCCCAAATCTCCTTAAGATACTAATGAAGACATGCACTAGAGTCCCTAGTTATGAGAATATGAGAGATTCAAACACTACCAGGTTATTGGAGAAGTCTATCATCAGCTTCAGCTTCATCAATATGAATGACATGAGTCCGGTAGAGCTGGAGCGGCATAAGCAAGAACCCGCAGAACAAATACCGATACTCATTCATGACTTGGATTCTCCTCCTCATGATCATCGTCAATATCAGCATCAACTACAACAAGCAGAAAGAGAAGGAGAAGAAGAAGAAGGAAAAGAGCCTACGTATCATCTGGAACTGTTACGGAGAAGACTGATCGAAAAAGAGGGTGCGAAACATCGACAAGATAAGGAATCAAATGACATTTCAGGGAGCCTGAAGAATTGGCACACAATTCTCAACTTAAGTGAAACTGAAAGAACATGGGATTTTGTTTAAAGCGAGCAAGACGAGCAGTATCATGGATATTACTTTCTGCCCCAATTTTTGCATGGCAACTCTAAAGCTGCCTCCCATCGAGGTTGACAACCACACGGTGCCTAACTTGATGAACTTGATGGCACAAGAGATGTGTCCGGATTTCATGAGCGACTTTGAGATCACTTCCTATGTCTCCTTCCTTAACTCTTTGATTGAGAAGGCGGTGAATGTGAAGGAATTGAGAGATGCTGGCGTGCTGTGCAACAGACTAGGAAGCGACAAAACTGTTGTGAGACTGTTCAACAAGATCAACACAAAGCTGGTGCCTAATCCTGAGCAATACAAAGAATTGAAACACAGAATCCAAGAACACAGTAATACCGCATGGACCACCAACATGACTCAACTTTATTACACCTGTTTCAACAGCCGCACCTGGCCTTCCCTGGTTCGCTACTCGATCTTAGTTTGACAGCTGCGCAGACTTACAAGAACTTAAATGACAAACCATCCAATTAAAAGAAGTATTCACAAGTGTGTTTAACCTATAGTTAATTATTTTTGGATTATACTTATGTTGTGACATCCTGTGCTGTCTGTTAAGAAACCAAGCATTCTAGAGAAGAAGAAAATGGAATGAAAATCAAATTCACTTTAAAATGAAAATAAACTAACCTTTAAATAGGTTTTACAAGATAACTTTGTCTAAAAAGATAACTAACCAATAATCCCAACTTATCTAATCTATTTTAAATGAAAACAACTTAAATAATAGGAAAAACAAATAAACAACTTAAACTTCCTAAATTATAGAGATAATAGCTAAAAACTAGGATCTACTTTCCAACTCCCTTAAATGGAAAGTCTTCAAACTTTAGGTTAGAGAAATTTGGAAAACACCATATCTACAATCTATAATCTGCAGATCCTCCCTCAAACTAAATTCCGCATGCTGCAAACACCAAGTAACTCTCTCAATCTTGAAAAAGTTTCTAATTTGAGGGGTTTTGTGAATATATCAACCACTTGATCTACTGTTCTACAATAAGTCAACTCAATTGTTTTATCTTCTACCAAGTTGCGTAAGAAATGATACCTCACATGTATGTGCTTGCTTCTCCCATGTAGAGCTAAATTTTAGAAAACTTGATAGCTAAACTATTATTATAATAAATTGAAGTGGTCTCATGTTGATTCATCTCAAGTTCTTCTAGAACTCTTCTCAACCAAATAACTTGACAAGCACATGAAGTTGTTGCTACATACTCTACTTCTGTTATGTACAAAGTCACAATGGGCTGCTACTTTAAAGACCATGAAACTACACCAGATCCCAACATAAAAACATACCCACGAGTGCTTTTTCTGTCATCTAGATCTCTAGCATAATCATTGTCTATAAAACCTGCGAGATCTGTTTGGTCACCCTTCTTGTAAAATAATCCAAAATCTATAGTTCCACATAAATACCTAAGAATTCTTTTAGCAATCTGCAAGTACAACTCCTTTGGATGCTTCATATATCTACTAATCATACTTACACCATGCATTATGTCTGGCCTTGTTACTATCAGATACATCAGACTTCCAACAATTTGCTTATATAGTTTGTTGTCCACAGATCTGCCACCTGAATCTTTCATGTGCTTTACACTTTTATCAACTGGTGTAGTGACAAAATTGCAGTTCTTCATTTGATATCTGTCCAAAATTTCCTACACATTTTTTTTTTTTGATAAGCAAATATTCCAAAATCTAACTATACTACTTCTAGATCGAGAAAATAATGAAACAAACCCAGATCTGTCATATTAAATTCAAGCTTCATGGATTACTTGAACTTTTCCAACATGCCAAGATCATTCTAAATATAAATTAAATCGTCAACATATAAGCATACTATAATCAATTTACCTCAATCTCCAAATTTGATGTAAAGTGTATGCTCATAAGGGTACTTTTGAAAACCTTCCTTCAAAAAACAAGCATCAATTCAACTATACCAAGCTCTAGTTGCTTGTTTTAGTCCATATAATGCTTTCTTCAATCTATAACCTTATGCTCAGAACCAAGTTATGTGTTAACCAAGGAGTTCATCAATAAATACCTATTCTTGTAGATCTCCATGCAAGAAGGTCAATTTCACATCAAGTTGGTAGATCGACCATGAGTTCTGTGTTGCTAATGCAATCACCAATCTGATGGTATCCATCCTTGCAACTGGAGCAAAAACTCCTTGATAATCAATGCTGGACTTTTGCTTGTAACCCTTTGCCACCAAGCGAGCTTTGAATTTGTCAACCTCTCCATTTTCATTAAGCTTTACCTTGTAGATCCACTTAACACCAATTATCTTGTGCCTTTTTGGAAGATTTTTCAACTTCCCAATATGGTTCCTTTCAATAGAACCAATTTCTTCTGCCATGGCTTTTTGCCACTTTTCTTTTTTAATAGCCTCTTCATACGTCAATGGATCACAGTATGCAAATAGAGCAAAATGAGTAACCGAAACATCATCTTGTGATAGACTTGTTATCTCATAATCCTCCAACCATGCTGGTCTTCTCTTTTTGCATTGAGGTCGTGAACCAATTCTAGATTCTAGTTCTGGTGTTGTTGGTAAACTATCTCCAGTACTAAGCTTTACTACTGTAGGCAGACTTCCTTCATCTACCTCTCTTGAAGCCTTGAGGTTTGCTAAAGTTAGACCTCCATTTTGCTGCGTTTGATCTCCTGTGTTTTGCTTGGTCAGATCTTCTCCATTGTTGAAATCTGCAGGAATTTGTCGACTAGATTTTTCTGTCCAAGACTAATTGCTTGCTTCATCAAACACTACATCATGGCTAATGATGACCTTTTTGGTTATAGGATTGTATAATCTATAAATTTTGGATTGATCACTAACACCAAGAAAAATACACTCTTCTCCTTTGTCATCAAGGATACTCCTTTTCAAATCTGACACATGTGCATATGTGATGCACCCAAAAATTTTGAAGTAGTTAATAGTAGGTCTACGTCCACTTCAAGCCTCTTTTGGGGTCATATCTGGAAGTGGAGATGTGGGACTTCTGTTTAAGACATGAACACCCCAATTAATAGCTTCTAGCCAAAACTACTTAGGCAAACCACTCTTTGACAACAAATTTTGCACCATATTCATGATTGTGTGATTCGTCTTCTCACATACACCATTCTCCTAGGGTGTATATGTTGCTGTGAGTTGCCTTTGAATACCATTAGACGCATAAAAATCAACAAATTCCTATAAGTTAAACTCACCACCACAGTCTGTGCGCAGAACCTTTATTGATCTACCAGCCTCCTTTTCAGCCAAGATTTTGAAATTTTTAAAGGCTACTAAGTCTTTTAACTTGGTCTACAAAAAATACACCCATGTTGCGACTGTAATCATCAACAACGATAATACAATATTGTTTACCTCCATTGGATGTGGGATTTATGGGTCCACACAGATCAAAATGAACAAGATCTAGGACCCGCTTTGCTCTCCAAGATCTGTCTTTAGGAAAGCTGTCATGGTGCTACTTACTAGCAACGTAGATCTCACAAAATTCTGAAGGAGATTCAAAATGAGGAAGACCTTTTACTATCTTTTTCTACTACAAGGCTTTCAACTCACCAAAATAAAGGTGTCCATATTGGCAATGACACAACCAAGCTGTGTCCTTCAATTTAGCATATAAACATGACAAATATTTGATCTACAAGTACAATGGAAACAACCTATTTCTTGTCATTTTGACCTTTGCAATCAAGCCAAACTTTGAATCATGAACTTGACATACTCTATCTTTAATTAGGATTTCATATTCTTTCTCCTGAAGCTATCCTAGACTAAGCAAATTTGACTTCAAGTTTAGTACATACAAAACATTAGCAATTGTTTGAACTAAATTGTCTTTGGCACGAATGGTTACCTTTCCCTTTCCCTTGACTTTAATAGTAGAATTATCACCAAATTTCACCTTATCTTAAAAAGACTCATCCAGATCTAAAAACAAAGATTTGTCACCATACATGTGGTTGCTCCAGCCAGTATCCAGATACGACACATTCTTTTTGCTAACTTCTTTAGGATGACAGATCATTAATAAAGAGGTATCATCATTCTTCTCATTGTGTTCTACAAAATTAGAATTTTCTTCTTTACTCAAATTAGCATGGCACTCAAAACGATAATGGTCATACTTAATGACACCTTAAACATTCAACATTTGCCTTCCCTACAGATTTGGATCTATTATCTATAACTTGATAATTTCTGTTCTGCCACCTCTTTTGATTTCCAGTGGCTTAACTTTCCTCCGATGTGCCTTTCTAGTTTCCTTTTCCTAGACCTACAGCCCTTGAGTTAACTGTGGTCTACAAGGCTTGTGTCTGCAAGGTCTGCACTGCTTGCTCTTGCTTGCCTTGGTAGTTTATCTTTCGCTCATGAACTAACAACGAGTTTTGCAACTCATCAAGGGAAAGTGCCTCAATATCATTTGAATTCTCAATTGAATAGACACATAATTGAATTTTGTTGTCATGGATCGAAGGATTTTCTCAACTATGGCAATATCCTCCAGATGTTCACCATGAATCCTCATCTTTGTTTGCAATTGCCATTATCCTTGAAAAATATTCATCTATAGAGTCACAAATCTGCATATGCAAACCTTCAAATTCTATCGCAAAGCTTGGCGTTACTACCACTTTACTCCTTCATTCCCTTGGTACTTCTTCATAAAATCCCAAATTGTCTTGGAAGTAGACTTGTTAAGAATTGTTTTTGAGATAACCCAATCAATGGCTTGGAACAAATAGTTCTTAGCCTTGAGATCTTTCAACTTTTCCTTCTCAATTTCCACCCTCTATACATCATCTGCACTTGCCACTAGTTCAAGAACTTCAGCTTCAACAACTGTCCAATACTCTTTAGACTTGAGAAAATTCTTCATTAACATACTCCAATGGTCATAGTAATGACCATCAAAACGAGGGATTGAGGGTTGGACATAATTTTCAAAAGCCATGGAATTTGATGGATCTAGGCTCTGATACCAAATATTAAGAAACCAAGGATTCTAGAGAAGAAGAAAATGGAATGAAAATCAAACTCATGTTAAAATGAAAATAAACTAACCTTTAAATAGACTTTACAAGATAACTTTACCTAAAATGATAACTAACCAATAACCCCAACTTATCTAATCTATTTTAAATGAAAACAATCTAAATAATAGGAAAAACAAATAAACAACTTAAACTCCCTAAATTATAGAGATAATGGCTAAAAACTAGATCTACTTTCCAAGTTCCAACACTGTCAGTTTTTTTTTTTTTTTTTATTTAACACAGCAAAAATGAATTTTATTCATGGAGAGTACAAGGAGTACTCAACCCTTGAAATACAAGTTTAGAGTGCCAACTAGTTCACCAAAACCTGAAATGGAATCTGGACATGGAACTTGCGTTGGAGAAGAAGGCTTTTCAGTTGGGAACCAGACATGGAGGCTGAACTTGTAACCAATCGCAATGGCTGCAAGTTAACTCAAGGACAACCTGATCTATGGTGCTTGAAGCACGATCAAGGATGATATTATTTTACAAAGTTTGCTTATTATTAGCTAGCTGGTCAGAGGTGCTTCT